AAATCTTTAAGATCCAAGTGTGTGTGCAAGAACCCTAGCTTCCAAAACTTGTTTCTCTCTAGTCTAAGGACTGAAAATAAGCCAAAAATCTTTTACTGAGCTAGGTTGGGTATTAAAGGGTTTGGGGCCAAAAATATGAAATGACATAAGTGCCCAGAACTGAAGCGCGATTTCGCATTTGTGAAGCAATGTTTGCATTTGGGAACATTGACTTTCCTGTTGACCTTCGCATTTGCGATAAGGACTTCGCATTTGCGAAGTTTGACAGTCTGGTTTGACTTCGCATTTGTGAGGTCCTTTTTCGCATTTGCGATCATAGCTTGGCTGGGTTGACTTCGCATTTGCGAAGTCCTCCTTCGCATTTTCGACCACTGCCTTCTTCGCATTTCCCACATCTTTGTCGCAATTGCGACACCTGAGGCCATTTTCCAGATTTTCTTCTTTTCAACTTCTTTTTTACTCTTTTTCACTTGGTTTCTTCATGATCACTTCTAAATCACATAGAACCTATAAAATAGAAGTAAATGACATTAAACACATGATTTTATCACTCATACATAACAAAACACTAAGCTTAAAGACAAGATAAGTTGGTAAAATACCAACTTATCATTCCCCCAAACATAAACTATTGCTTCTCCTCAAGCAATGAAAGCGACAAAATCTCCTTCCAAGTATTTAACACAATAGTGCATCAATATCATGCCGAGTCAAAAAGGTCTACTGTAAGCACAAACACATGACTTCTATTGGTACCAACAATTAATCCAAAGCATATGAATTACCAAAACCTTCTCATGAATTTAATTACAATTCAAGTGCTCAACACTATGCAAATCAAAGTAGCAATCAAGTCATGACACTAAAGCTTCAAAACTTGCCTCTTTATCACAATTAACTTCCTTTATTCATTCCTCCCAATTGAAATTGAGATTAAATTCACAACTCAAATCTCATGTGCCCTTACACTTAAGAGAGAATCCCACACTCATAAATTTCAATTCAAAACATAAATGGGATATCAAATGGAAAGAATTAACTCTCCCTCACAAAGATGTTCAAATGCACACAAGTAGTACCATAGGCTTGCCCTTCATGTATTTCTCCACTAATGTAGATAAACTTGGTTCAAAATCAATTAGGACTTAAAGGGTTGTAGTTTAGGCTTTTGGTTAAGATAGGGCACAATTTTGGTTAGAGTGACTTAAAACCTCCCTAAGCACTACAATTCTTCACAATAAAAGTACACTTCATTCAAAGAAATTTTCCACCCTTTCTTCATTTGTTTTATCACCTAGTCTTCCATTTATTCACAATTCCTTATTTTTCCTTCTTTTTATTTTCAAATACTACTTTTTCTCTTTTTTTTATTATTACCTTTCACCTTTTAAGCAACTTCCACATCACAACTTTTTCCACCTTCACCCCCCCAAAAGATAAATCAATAAAGAACAAAGGGTTAAAGCTTGTAACATGGTTGCCAAAGAAAACGGTTAAAGGCTCAAAATGGGTTGACTAGGAAAAATATACAAGGGTAGGAAATTTAAGGCACAATAGCGGTCTAAGGAAGGCCTAACATCATTTTTCAAACTAATTTAGTCTAGGATTTCGCCTTGAAGCACATTCCGGGCAAGTTATAGATTACAAATAATGCAAGAGAACTCACAATAGATCTCACCACACATGGCACATGAACACTCAAGTGGAATATAAATCCAAAATCCAATTGAAACGAATGACTCAAAGAAGTTACATATAGCATAAGCAGCTATTTAGTGAATCAAAGAGCCAAAAATTGTGTCTAAAAGTCATGACAATGATCTTTACTTCAATCATTTTTCTTTTTCAAAGATCAAAAATTCATATGCCGATGTTTAAATCATGTTGGTACCAAGCAAGCCATATATTGGCCAATGGGCACAAACCCCAGCTCAAACCACTTATTCTTCCTAAATTAACAAAATCTATATCTAAACTACAAGACTAATTTCCTTAAGAAAGTCGCCTAGCTATCCATCATCGGGAAAAGTGAACACAAAAATTTACCAAAATTACCCGGTTCAAAAAGAAAATTGGCATCCTCGGAAAATGAACTGTGGTACAAAGAAAACCTAGGATATCCCCACCAAAATAAAACATATTATTTAAAAAACAATTAATAAGCTAATAAACATCAAGTCAAACAAAACATACTATATATAAAAACAGCAATTCAAGAAGCTAGTAAACATACTAATATAACACATCACATGAAAACAAAATAACATCACATCAAAACAAACAATGTACAAATCTACCATATCCACAGTTATACAAGATCAATAGTTATACAAGAAGCCACCCCCAACTAGAGATGTTGCAATGTCCCCAATGTAACTAAACACAACAACAACAACAACCACCCGGTAAAATCCCACAAAGTGGGGTCTGGGGATGGTAGTGTGTACACAGACCTTACCCCTACCCCGATGGGACAGAGAGGCTGCTTCCGATAGACCTTCGGCTCAGAAAGACGGAAATAAATGAAGAAGAGACAATTCATTAGTAATGTTAGCAGAAATCATAGAAATAGTAACATAAGCATAAAAGCCAAAAGATAAATGACATGCAATAACAGTAATCAGTATTTAAGGCCCGGGGCTAAGATAAACAGAAAGGATAGTGTGGGCTCAAAATAAACCACAAGCCACCTAAGATCAACCCTATCCAACCCCGCCTCACCCCGGGTGTGTAGTAGGAAAAGCTCTACTACCCCCTAACCTACAACCCTAATGCTTGACCTCTAGACCTTTCTATCAAGGGCCATGTCCTCAGAAATCTGGAGTTGTGCCATGTCCAGCCTGATCACCTCTCCCTAATACTTCTTAGGCCGCCCTCTACCTCTTCTTGTACCCACCACAGTCAACCGCTCACACCTCCTCACCGGAGCATCAAGGATTCTCCTCCGCACGTGCCCAAACCATCTAAGCCTCGCTTCAACTTATCATGCACAAGGGCCACGCCCACCTTTTCCCAAATATCTTCATTCCTAATCTTATCTATCCTAGTGTGCCCGCACATCCACCTCAACATCCTCATCTCTCCTACCTTCATCCTCGGGATATGAGAGTTCTTAACCGACCAACACTCTGCCCCATACAACATGGCCGGTCTAATCACAGCTCTATGAAACATACCTTTTCTGTATCGATGGCACTTTCTTGTCACACAAGACACCAGATTCAAGCCTCCATTTCATCCAGCTTGCCCCTATACGGTGAGTGACGTCGTCGTCGATCTCTCCGTCCCCCTCAATCACCGACCCAAGGTGCTTGAAACTATCTCTCTTGGGGATGACCTGTGATCCAAGCCTCACATCCCTGCCTACTTCCCTTGACTCAGCGCTAAACTTGCACTCCAGGTACTCTGGCTTAGACTGGCTCAATTTGAAACCCTTAGACTCGAGGGTCTGTCTCCAAACCTCCAACCTCTCGTTAACACCATCCCTCGTCTCATCAATTAGAACTATTTCATCAGCAAATAACGTATACCATGGCACATCCCCTTGAATATGGTGTGTCAGTGCATCCATCACCAAGGAAAATAAGAACGGGCTAAGCGAAGAGCCTTGGTGTAAACCTATAACAACCGAAAAATGCTCTGAGTCGCCTCCTACAGTCCTAACCTTAGTCTTAGCTCCATCATACATGTCCTTGATCGCTCTGATGTAAGCAAGCTACCACCACACCCTTTGCCTCAAGACATCTCCAGAGTACCTCCCTAGGGACCTTGTCATACGCTCTCTCCAAGTCAATAAACAACATTTGTAGGTCCTTCTTTTTATCTTTGTACTATTCCACCAACCTCCTAATTAGGTGGATAGCTTCCATAGTGGAGCAACCCGGTATGAACCCAAACTGGTTATCGAATATAGACGTTGTCTTCCTCACCCTCACCTCCACCACCCTCTCTTAGACTTTCATAGTATGGATTAGTAACTTAATACCCCTATAATTATTACAACACTAGATATCACCTTTGTTCTTGTTCAATGGTACCACTGTACTCTACCTCCACTCATCCGGCATCCTATTCATCCTAAAAATTATATTGAACAACCCTCTCAGCCACTACAAGCCTGCTCTACCCACATACTTCCAAAACGCAACCGGAATCTCGTCTGGCCCGGTCGCTCTACCCCTACTCATCTTACGCAAAGCCCTCATAACCTCCTCCACCGTAATGCACCTGCAGTACCTAAAGTCACGGAGACTCTCCGAATGCCCCAAATTCCCTAACACTATATTCTGGTCCCCCTCCTCAATTAGAAGACCATGGAAGTACGTCTGCCATCTCTGCTTAATCTCGGACTCGCCCATCAATACTCTACCGTCCTCATCTTTGATGCACCTTACTTGGTCCAGGTCCCGAGCCTTCGTCTCCCTCGCTTTAGCAAGCCGAAACAACTTCATGTCCCTGCCCTTTTTCCCCAATTCCTCATACAGACGACCACACGCTGCATTCTTAGCCTCCATGACCGTCGTATTTGCCTCTTTCATCGCTACCTTGTACCTCTCTCTATTCGCTCACCTCTCCTCCTCGCTTGTGCTTCCTGCCAACTCCACATATGCTACCTTCTTCGCCTCCACTTTAACTTGGAATATGTCATTCCACCACCAGTCACCTTGATGTCTGCCAGAATAACTCTTCTATTTCCCTAGCACCTCTCTCGTCGCCTTCCTCACATAGTTCACCGTCATTGACCACATAATGCTCGCGTCCCTACTACTCCTCTAAGCTCTCATAGATGATAAACTCCCCTCCAACTCCTAGGCTTTATCCTTAGTTAAAGCTCCCTATCTAATCCTCAGTCGACCACGAGCATACCTCTTCTTCCTCTTTATCATAATATCGACGTCTATCACTAAGAGCCTATGCCTAGTCGCGAGGGTCTCTCCCGGGATATCCTTGCAATCCTTGCACAACGTTCTATCATGCCTTCTCAGGAGAAGGTAATAAATCTAAGTATTCACCATCGAACTTTGGAAAGCCACCAGATGCTCCTCCCTCTTCGCGAAAGTCAGGTTCGCAATCACCGGCTCGAAGGCCTTAGCGAAATCTAACAGTGAAGTACCTCCTCCGTTCCTATCCCCAAGGCCAAAGCCACCATGCACCTTGCCATAGCCACTAGCAACTGACCCAATATGGCCATTAAAATCCCCTCCTATAAATAACCTCTCAGTAGGTGGAATACTACGCACAATCTCGTCCAAACCCTCCCAGAAGCACCCCTTAACCTCCTCATCCAAGCCCGTTTTCGGCGCGTAAGCGCTAACAACATTGAGGGTGCACTCCTTAATCACCAACTTAATAAACATTAGCCTATCATTCACTCCCCTAAACTCAACCATAGACTCTCTAAGATCCCTATCCACTAAGATACTCACTCCATTCTTACCCCTCACGACCCCAGAGTACCACAGCATATGTCACGACCCAAACCGATGGGCCGCGATGGGCACCCGGTACCTTAATCAACCGAGTACCAACATAACGTATCTTTTTTATTACATTATCATATACACGTGACATACGGGCCTAATATGCCAGCATGATCATTTATAAACTCAAAACATTGGCCGAAAAGGCCGTACAATCTTTCATGTACACAACATATGTCTACAAGCCTCTAAAGGTAGAAAAATGTCATAAAGGTCGGGACAGAGCCCCGCCATACCAAACAATACACATCTAAATCATACTAACCAAACAAGAAACTTCGGAATAAATGGAGTGCACCAACATCTTCCGCTCAGCTGATCGCCCACTTGGAGGACTCTCGACCTGTATATCGGGACCTACGGGCATGAAACGCAATGTCCCCAGGCAAAAGGGATGTCAGTACAAATAATGTACCAAGTATGTAAGGAATGAAAATCAGTAAATAATAGATATGAGAGAAACATGAAGTAAAATACTCGACATGTACGTCTGCATAGCTCTGTGAATCATTTCATTTTTATAATGTCATACCATGCATAAGTATATGTGTTCCTAACATCATCAAGACTCTGAGGGCATTCCATCATATCATTTCGGCCATTGTGGGCAAATCATCAACGTATACCAACTGATCAAGTGATGGTACGTATATAACGCCATAACCTTTTTCCATATCCCATATACATATAATATTCATATATATGTGTATATAATGCCATCTGGTCATGGGTCAATGTACATGTATAAATGAATGAAATGCATATGAAATATGCCAATAAAATCTCTCGGAACGTTATAAATAAAATATGCATGTCGGATAAATTTTATCAAATACGTAATTTTATGAGACCCATGAACAGAAGATATAATAATAATTCAGATGGGGAATCAAGAATATAGACAGCCCTAATATTTCTATGAATAGTGTCATTTATGGAAATTGTGCATTTGCTCTTTTCGTTCGTGTCGTATAGATCACACCAAAAGAAAGAAGGGATAGCCTTAACATACCTTAGCCGATTCGCTTGACAATCCCTCTAACACACGTTGATTGTAACAACACGTAATGGCGGATCGAAGTAGGGAAAATCAGTATGATATTCTTGGAAAAGGTTACACCGTAATTTTTTAGAATAACAAAATCTCACGTTGCTAATGTGCTAAAAAATATCTTGTTGGTTGAAGAAATCACGTAGGAATTTGTAGTGTAAGAAATCACGTAAGAAATCACGTAGGAATTTGATTGTGGTGTTTTTGTAGGAATTGCTTTCATTTGATTGTAGTAGCTTTGTATACAAAATATAAGAAATGAAGTAGCTTCTGATTGTACTGTTTGGTTGTAAGAAATTTGTTGAAAACTTGTACGAATTTGTAGGAAATGGGTAAGAATTCACGTTGCTATGTGCAAAGGCTCACATCTGATTTGTAGTCTTTTTTATTCAAAATAATAGAAGTGAAGTGTTTTGTACTTAACATATTACTTTTACAAGTCTTTAAAGTATGAGAAATGAAGTGTCCTTGTACTTGACACATTACTGCCACCTAACCAAGAATAACTAATAGTCATATGTTCAAGAAGTGGCTTGCTGCCACGTTTTTGCTCATCCTTAACCAACAATTGACCACTTAATTTCTTAATTAATTTATTAATCCTCCATTAACCAATAATTATCTAATTATCCATATAATTGGGTATTATCTCAAATTAATTAAAATACCACTGACTTTTAACACACTTTGTACACCTTACTATTATGGTCATGTGGTACCTTGTATGGCACTATTCCATAAATACCGACCATTATAGCTCAGACCGTATTTTATCCCAAATTGTCAAACTTCGACGAAATTCATTTTCTTCAATTTGCTTACCCTCTCACCTTCACGAATTAACTTATCACTTATTTGAAATAGCGTAATACTTATAATCCCAAAATAAATCTCATTTCCAAACTTACTTCGATTAACTTACGATAAAACTTTAATGTTCGAAAATGCGGGATGTAACATCTCATTCCTGAGCTTTCATCAATTCACTTATGGCATACTTTCACGTATCAAAACATGGGGTGTAACATCATTCCCCCATTTGGAACATTCGTCCTCGAATGTTGACTGTTTCATTTTCATAACTTATGTCTTTCGAATACTTTAGTACTCTCTTTGCCATCTCGGCAGTTGTTATATAAACAAATCCAAAGGCCAGGGCATTCCCCCTTTAGGCCTCTTTCTCATGCCACGACTTATGGTCGGAATCCTTCCAATCTTGTAATTGTTGCTACCTTTTATCATGCAGCATGTACGACTCTGACTATGTAAGTACGCCTATGCTACTCTTCTCTCTTTTTTCCTCCAGCTTTTAGCCAATCTCTAGGCCTCACTTTGTAAACATATACAAAGCTTAATAAGATGTCCCTCTGGGCATCTATCGGTATACTGAAGTTCTTCGCTCGATACTTTGTTGAACTTACGAATATCTCTATACCTTATTTCATAGATCCATTTAACCATCCGTATGACTTTATTGCATCAAGGTAGGTTTTACTATACCATAACTCTTACTTCGATTTATTGTTGCTAAGGTCTGCTACCAAATTCCAGCTTACTCTCATTGCTTATCCTATATGTATAAGTCTAAGTCCTTTAACCCGTCTATCTGAAGTATGGACTGTTCACAACCTTCTGCATTTGAGTATCACGTACGTTTTTCACCTTTACCTTACTTACCTTTAAATCTTTCATCACATCTTCTATCTCTTTCATGACCTCCCTTCCACATAGGTATAATTCACATCCGCAACTCGAAGTTCTATTATAATACTCATACCTCTGGTGCATACACAATCCGAGGGGAGCTTCATATTGACTTCTCATGAGGCTGGTATTCGTCTAACTGGCTTTATCGTAGAACCGTTATAGAATATGGCTACGGTACTATCTCTCTTGTACCTATGATATTAAGGGTGATCTTGCAATGTTCTCAATCATGATGACTATAACTTTCTGGGTCCAATAATCAGACTCCTAATTTACTTAGTTGATGTAATTATTTAGTTTCCTCTTCCTTCTGATCGCCCTTTATGTAGGCTTAAGCTATCTCTTGATCTGTGGCTTCTTGTATTAGCTATTATTCTAGCCTTTCATGGTCTCTATGGAATATCCATGATACAATCTTTTAACAATCCAATCCTTCATCTATGACCTGGACTCGATTCTTTCTTTTAACTTGTACCGGAGTCTTCTATAGTTGTATGATTGTCAACATATATGCTGCATGGATAATACTCTGAAATCCTATATGCGTTTATAACGTAACTAACTCTGGGTCATTGACCAAATAATTCCCTTCGTTCCTCCCCAGCTTTCTTTAAATGTAAGCTATCACTTTTCCTGGTCTTTCTGGCCCTTTGTTGCGTGTATACTTAGCTTATCTTAGCTCCCATGCATGCTGGAGTTTTCGTGCAACTCATATGATTTCGAATATTACTTTTGACCTTACTTCCCGTTCATTAGCCACGGTGGGTTCCACTTTCCTATATAGTGCCTACAATCTTGTTGTGAGGCTATTATGACCAGACCATTTCCTCTTTCGGTCATTGTGCTTTGGTTGAAGCCTTCTTCCTTATTTCCTCAATTAGTCTTTCATTGTAGTATTTAGGGAGGATCCTCTAACTCTTGTAAAGATACGAGCTTATTAAATCGTATACTCGGCGGACCTTTTGATGTGCTTCCTTGCCTATAATTATCCGTAGTTATTTACCTCCACGCCTTTATGCTTGTAGGGCTGCTTCTGAACTAATATTTTGACTGACTTCCTAGTGGCACTCCCTTTTATTTCTGTAATACTCATACGGTACCTTTAACTACCCCAACTCCTAGCTGAATATATCTCAAGGATTACGATGTCACATCTGCGAGACTGAATTCCCCATGCTGGGGTTTACTATGTTTATCTTGCACGATCTCTTAACTCGTCTGTAACCTCCTATTTAGCCATAATTATGCTCTTCCTGAACCAATTACTAACTACTCGTTGGCCCATTCTCATATCAATATCCCGCGTAATCTTCCTTGGGTTATTTCCTTTGTCTTAACTTACCTCTCGCACTAGCTCCTTATTTATCAAAAACATCCCGGGCTGGAAGCCTTACTTCCTTTCCTTGACGTCGTGCTTGCATAATGTTCTGGAATCGTAGCATATCGGTAGGATTTGGATGAGTGCAATCTCATTCCTTCCTCATTTTATCACATTCTTCCTTTATCATTCTATAGTTACTAGAGCCACTTAGTTTTGACTCAATGTCACATAACTCCATATTCCCCTCTTTAGGGGAGTACTAACATTTAGTGCTATGATGATCTACGTATAAATGTTTTACCTCTTCATCTATGTCATCTTTTCACAACATTGATGATCCTTACTCGCCTTGCGGAAATCCTTCTGTACCAAGGATACCAAATTTCCTTACTCACGAGGGAGACACTTAGTGTAACTGGCACATACAGTCCCTTAAGCGTAACTTTGCTCACATTGCTTGTTTTAGGGAAGTGTTTTCCTCAATGACCTTTAAGGGTTATCCTTCTGTCGTCTATTCTATTACTGCCGAAACACAATCTCTGAAATCCTCATAATGCCGACTATTATCAAATCACTCAATCCCTAATTCATGTTTAGTTTACCTTGTTCACCAGCCCATATTGATTTGTATTACTTTGGGGTCTAACATTTCCTTCCGATAGTTGCATTGGGGTCACGAACATATTTCTTGAAGTGAGGATATGACTTTATGGCCTATACTCTTTTGTTGTCTCAAGGCCTGTCACCTCTCATCTTTTCCTTCACTTGACTATAGACTCTGTAATACTATAATTGTTTTTACCTACCGTTGTCATCCATGTATCACATCTTACTTTTAATGCTTCATTAGCTCTCTTCTTATTTCCTGCTAATATTTCTATCTATCACCTAATTCTGAAAACTTCA